GATTTCAGTGCGTATAGGGCAAGGGTGCAAGCCTAAGCTGGATGACCGCGCTCTCTGATCCCTGAGACAGCATTGCATCAAGAATCGTCACTCTTCTATAAGTGATATAACCACATGGACTCAGGATTACTTTGGTTTTGCACTACAATATTACATCCATAAATGCTGCCTAAAACTGTACTGTGCAAAAAGAAAGCCCTACGTTTGCAGTGTCCAGCAACAAGTCCAAAAGCCAGGGTCTGTAACGGTCTGGGGTTGTGTCAGTGTCCTTGGCAAAAGGTAGCTTACACTTATGTACCATTAATACTGAAAAATACAGAGAAATTTTGGAGCAACATACGCTGCCTTCAAGACGACATCTTTTCCAGGGATGCCCATGCATATTTTAACAAGACAATGCAAATCCTCATACTGAGCACATTACAAAGGCATGGCTGTGAAGGAAAAGAGTGCGAGTGCTAGACCGGCCTACCCTCAGTTCCGACCTGTCCCCAATAGAAAACGTGTGGCGAATTTTGATACGGAAATTGTGTCAACAAAGACCCAAGACTGTTGCACACCACTTGTTTATAAGAAGAATGGGACAAAATTACACCTGACACACGTAATCACTTGGTGTCCTCAGTCCCTCAATGTCTTTTAAGTGTTGTGAAAAGGAATGGCAACATTACACTGTGGTACATGCTTTAGTGTCCCAGCTTTTTTTAGAACATGCTGCAGGCATCAGAATTGAAGCGAATATTTATTTTGAATAAATAATAAAATTGATCAGGTATCATCAAATCATGTGCTGCTGTGTTGTTTTCAATGCAATACAGGCCACAGATGATTTACAATATTGCTGTTATTTGATCATGCATGTGCTCAGGTACTAACTGTGAAGTTAGTGGCACATTACTTTATGCCCTTTGACTTCTAAATTGCAAACTACAAAAGAAATTTATAATATCATTATGGGGGTGGCTGTGGCTTACGAGGTACGGCAGTCGTCTTCTAACCAGCAAGTTGGTGGTTCGACTCCCGGTCTCCCCGCATGCCTAAGTGTCCCTGAGCAAGACACTGAACCCCAAATTTCTCCCGGTGGTTCGACTGGCGCCAGTGTGCGGCAGCCTCTCGTCATCAGTGTGTGAATGTGGGTGTGAATGGATGAATGGTGCATCATCTCCTGTAAAGCGCTTTGGCCAGTGTAACACATGCGCTATATAAATACAGTCCATTTACCATTTTTAGGCATTGGCAGCGATAAAAGCAGCAAGGGAAAAAATGTAACTGTCCAACTAATAGTTGTTTGCTAATTTTTATTAAACATTAGTTGACTGTTGAAACACTCTGATACTGATCCAAAATATACGTTTATAAATAATGGGTCCATTAATTCTACAAAAGGGAGTGTACTGACACTGAAATGTAACAGTAGGCAGCTTGTTTCTTCTACAGCAGCTCAGGGTTTTTCCACTGGACTTTCAGCTGATGGCTCATTAATCTATTCTAAAGGAGGTCCCCTATGCGAGGAGTCTGCACCAGCAGAGGACTCCTTGTGTTTCACCCTTTCCAGCATAATTCTTTGACTAAAACCATGAACACTGAGTTAAAGAGGATGTTTTGAGAAAACGTAAAGAAGATATAAACCTAAAAAAAATGTGCATTAATTATCATAGCTTCTATCAACACAGCATTTGTATTAACAAAACGTCAATTTAAGCCATTTGTCTTACATTAAAATTGAGTTCAGTTATTCATTTGCTGTAGCTATACCACAATATACAGTTCTGTATAACAAAAACCACAGTGGAAAATATTCTTTGACTGTAAACAAGACTAAAACTAGAAAAACAATAAGTTTTCAAAACAAGAATAGATAACATTACAGATAACCCCAAAATGCCTGCAAGAGATAAAGACTAAAACATGAGTGTCTGTACTAAAATTAGGGGCTATCCATTCAATAATTGTCAAGACATTTCAATCAAAATGTCATCTCATGGAGGAGCTATCGAAAAAGTCAGAGGATCATCAAAGTCATTAGGATACTTTGTCTGGGAACCATGAACGTCTTTAGAGATTTGTTTTGCCAATCAATCTGGTAGACGTTGAGATATTTCACAGCATAGCAAAAACTTTGAAATGCTGATGGTGCTCAGTAAAGTCAGTGGATCACCAATGGTTGATCCTGAATGGAGCATGAATGTCTATACATCTAATAGCTATTAAGGTATTATTAGTGTGGACCAGAGTGATGGAACATCTCACCAGTGGTATGTATGCATGCAGCTAGCGAGGCTAAAAATCATTCCACACCCATCTTTTAAGTCCAGATCCACTACACTGCCAAAAACAAAAATCAAAGTCACTGCATGGGACTATTAAGTCAATTAGTGATGAGCGGTGTATTTCTCTAAATGAATGCATTCATTGGAAGCCAAATCAAGTGTGATGGCCATTAGTGTAGGCTCCCAGTGCAAATTAGCTACCTGCATACAAATGTACAGCCAACTGTCCTGTGTGGGTGGCAGCAGGGCGCTGAACGGCTACATTTACACACTTTGGTTTCACTGCAGTATTTGCTCTGACATCCATCATCACTAAGGTACTCCATTCATAAATATTCTGCTTCAGCTGACAAATGCAATTGGATATTGGTGATTATTTTATAACGGCCATTCCAATTATAACTCTCACTGCCCTCAGTGATTTCGGTGGACATTTGTCTGATATTATGAATAGGGTTTCCTCCTCATAACAACTGATCTGTTAGAGACACCACCACTTAACCACCACTAATATGACTGCATGAATGGCAGCTCTGTCACAGAGTCATGTCAAAATTCAGTTTTCTGATTGCTTGACTGAGACTGACTGAGCATGTGGCTGTCACTATATACTTATGATATAGCAATATTAATGTGCCATATGACAATGTGCCAGCACCATAATAAACAGTTGCTCTGATTATAGAACCTGTGAAACAGCAACCTTGCATAAAGTCATGGCCAAAATATTGGCACTCCTGCATTTCTGTCAGATAGCACACCACTTCTCCCAGAAAATTGCTGCAATCACAAATTCTTTGGTATCCTTATGTTTATCTCTTTTGTTTGCAATGGAACAACACAAAAAGATGAGAAAAAAGGCAAGTCTGTGAGCTGACACTGTTGCAACCTGTGCCTGCAGGTCAGCTTGAATTTGTTTGGAAGTTAATCAAGGTTCTTTATCCACCATTCGAACAATCCTTTGTTGCAATCTGCCATCTAATTTTCTTTTTCGCCCACATCCAGGGAGATTAGCTACAGCACCATGGGCTGTAAACGTCTTGACAATGTTGTACACAGTGGACACAGGAACAGCAAGATCTCTGGAGATGGACTTGTAGCCTTGAGACTGTCCATGTTTTTCCACTATTGTGGTTCTCAGACAATTCTTTGTTGGTCTGTCTTTTCTCTGTGCTCAGTGTGGTCCACGTGGCACAAAGGATGAGTAAACTTTTCTTCAGTTTAACTTGTTGCAAGTGATTCTATATTGCCAGCACCTGTTAGTTGCTACAGGTGAGTTTCATTACAAATTAAAGTACCATCACAATACAACTATATCTGCTGATTTTGAAAAGCTGTCAATAATTTTGTCCCAGTCCATTTTTAGAGTTTTGTGTGGAAAGGATCAGATGTGACTTTTATTCTCTGCTTCTTTATGTTGCTCCAATGCAAACAAAAGAAATAAGCATGAGAATTTGTGATTGCAACACTTTTCTGGGAGAAGTGGTGCAATATTCTGACAGAAATGCAGGGGTGCCAATATTTTTGGCCATGACTGTGTGTGTCATCGCATAAATAAATTAAGACATTTGCAGTGAAGCAACATTTAAAACACGACTTCTGAATGTAACCATACAACATTTCCACAGAACGTCACACTGAGATCTACAGCACGTACTGTACAAAAAAAAAAAAAAAACAAAATCTATCAAACTGTTTTTAATAGCATCTGATTGGCAAGCTGTCTTGGGACAGTTGGCAAATGGGCGGACAGCGGAGGAGTTTAGAGGTGCTAAAGTTCAGGCAGGAGCGACGCAGCACCCTGTGTCCTGCCAACAGCCTTACAGTGGCGCAATTCCTGACTAAGTTGTTGACCCATGGCCCCCACCTGCCTTGACCATGCATTATACAGGGGGGGCATCACTTCCCCTCCTATGCTGCCTGCCACACCAGAAGGCTTTTGACTCATGCCCATCTGTCCTGGTAGTACATACATTAAGTGAAAGCCAAGATACTGACACCCTGTTCAATTAATGTGTCCCTTTATAACAACAAGTCGTTATATAGTGTATGAAGAGCATTTTTTACTTAACAACAAACATCTCGGTAAAGAAACTATTTACCAGTAAAGAGTTCACTTCTAATAGCTGTCTTCAAACCAATATGAAATATTATTGATATGTATTTGTTACATAACTCATACAAAAGCCCTGAAATAAATCTGATCTTTGTGAAGCCTATAATACACATTGTTGGTGATGCTGTTAGGGAGGTACTAATTCAACTCTGCTGTACTTATTGAACCTATAATTTGTGGTGGTGGTGGTGGTGGATCAAAATGAATAATACTGATACATTTTTCAAACATTCTGACACAGAAAAAAGGGATACAATATAAGAAACACCTCTCACTACAGTTTACATGCCTGTGCCATTACCAGAGCAACCAAAGCAGTTTGGATAGCAATGCCTGAAGATACAACTTAATCACTTGCAAATATCAGTGTAGACAGTCCTAGAGATTTATTTTAGTCACAAATCAAATGTCTCTGTCTGAACACATTTTAGGAACTTTTTAAAGTGGGGTTGAATACATTCTGTTGTAAATAATGGTAATAAAAAACAAAAACACCATAGTTTTAAATGTTTTCAATATATCTTTGACACATATAAAAAACACTGAAACAAATGGCCATTAACTTTCTTAATGATATCAAGAAGTTTGCACAAATGGCAAAGATGCAAACATACCTGACCTGGTTTGATGTCTAAGAAATGAAGCACCTCTTTGAGCATGACAGGTGTGTGAGGAGGCTTTTCGGTTGAAACTGAGCCCTCTTCATCAGGTCTGTCCAGAGGACCGGACGATGCACCAACTGTAGAATAGTGCATGTTTAATTTCCATGACCTCCATGCTCTCCACACAGCCAAATTTGTTCTCCATAACATTTGGTTGCAGCGCACAGACATGCTGAAAATCTATGAAGAAAACCAGAGGAAGATTTTGTCATAATATAAGCAAAAACACAAGTACTTTATTTTAAAGATGAATGTGAAATGGTGATAGAGTTATGGACTTCAAGTAACAAGTGCCTGATGAATTGTTAAAAACAAACTGTTTGTAATTACATTTATCAGGTGTAGCAGAACTTTTATGGTGCAGGCTTACAAAGCAACATTTCCAAAGAGCATGGGAATTTTAACTGATTTGAGCAGGTGGTCTCCAAACTCAAGTGCCCTAACAAAACAATAGGGTATCGCAGTTGTAATATTTAAAGCAAATTGATTAGACTGAAGACTTAACCCTGGAAACATAACCCTTCAAACAACACACACGTGGTTCATGTACTGCATCACCACCACACCCGCAATAACAGTAAGTACATCTTCAGCTAATCAGTTCAACATTTTGGCACTCTATATGAACAATACTGCCTGCATCCCGAACCAGAGAGAGTCACACAGTTAAAAAGGCATTATTGAGTTTCCTGGTTACAAGATATATTGACAATTAGAGTTCAACAAGTGTGTATGGTTATAATAAAATAGAATTATGTGCTAGAGCTTAAGGAATTCAACATGTTTGCACATCCATGATGGCAAATCAAATGTTCAATGGCAGTAAAGAATTACATAACATTTAACAAGGTGGCAATAAATATATAGTGGCAATGCATGATTGCTGTCAGATTGTGGGGCATACCTGCTGTACAAGAATGGAAAACCAACTTTTTATACTGTTGATAGATTACTGTTGTGTGCATTTATATGTAAATTAAAATATAATTAATTGCAGGGGAAGAGAAGCCATGTCCTTTACCAGAAGAGCTAATGAAAGAAGACATGCTGTCACATTTTTTAATCCTCTTGTGAATCATGCTATTATTTTTATCTTTCACTATCAGTTCATCACGAGACTTTATCTCATGGCATAGAGGTCTATTAAGCAGCCTATTGTCCTTTCCAGTGCCATAACATGCGCAAAAGGTGGGGCATAATTCTAGGGATAAGATAATAGGGACATTATTGTTTAAGAAGGGGGTAATTCTTTAAGAACCCACACTAGCTGTGCCCCCAGTTTCTTAACATTGTCATAGCTAGCCTACTTAGCTGTTAGCCATTAAGCTAGGAGTAGATATAACTTTACAGCACGGGGATTGCTGGCAGCTTTTAACGTTTATTTTATTTAACCAAAACACGTAATACGTTACGTTGCTACTTTGGAATATCACACAAGAGAGGTAACCTAGGTAGAGAGGTAGAGCAGGTAAGCTAAATACCTTGATAAAACACCCGAGCTAACATGGAGCAACGGTGCATGACAGGACATGGATTACATGCACACACTAACCTTATTACAGGTATGTTTTCGCGTTGCTCGGTTTTTATAACAGTGGCATTGTTATGTAGGACGCCGGTTGCTGCTCTTTATCACACGTGTGTACTAGCTAACTGTGATGGTATTCAAATCCACAATGGCTGGCATTTTACAACTGACGATACATTGTTGCTATTCCACCATGTTGGACGACCGCACACGTTGTCAACTAATAGGGACGTAACAGTTAAGTTTAGCAAAACAAACAAAAAATACAACAGTTCCCATACCTCAGGAAGTTACATGAAGCTAGTACCCTGGAGTAGTTCCACCCTCGACAACAGCATGTCCGGTGCGATACTCTGGCCCGCCCATTTACTAGCGACTCACATCCAATCTGCTGTGAGAAAGGAAATGGGCTTGTTTTGAAAATATTGGCGCTTGACGTGGTAGCTATAACAGTCCAAGTCTCGCCGGCAACTTTTTTTTTTTTAAGGTTATAATTAGAACTTTATCGTGACTTTGACATGAAAGATAACCGTTACTGACAAAAGGTAAGACATAATTATTCGCAGTACTTTTGACATGAAGAGAGCAGTGCTAATTTACCGTTATGAGCTAGCTGGGAAAGCTAGCTAGCTAGCATGCGTTAGCCAACCCTGGTAAATTACCCCTTTAACATTGTGTCTCTGAAGTAGTTTTAGGCTTATAAACGTATCTTATTTTACTTAATGTTATAGCCTTATAATCTGCACTGGTTTGTTCTAGGTCTTAATTGAAGCTAGGCTAACGTTATATCATGTGGTGTTTAACATAAGACAGTGATAAGGGTGCTGGCCTAGCATTTAATACTTAAGTTAAAGCTGCATAATATGAAGAAGTCATCGTTGGCAGATAACATAATAACTAGCACTTCCCTAATGGAATACAGTATATGGTACCTTTTAACATGCCTCTTTGTAAGAGTTAATTGTGAATCATGAACTGTTGCAATATTTTAATGTATTTGGCCATAGATTTACCGTTTTGGAATTTAATAAAGGATAAACTGCAATACAGCAAGTACAAAGTTATTGCATTAGTTTCTTGTAATCTGTAACATTAGTAATATAGCATGATAATCTTCTTTTAATCTGCACAGTGGTAGTTGAGGCTGTGCAGCTCGATTTAGAATGCAAGAAAACTACTTAAGTGCAAAGCACTACAATTCAACAGGACTGCAAAACTTCCAAAATGACCATCGGCTTGAATCAGGACACCTTTAAAACATTTTCAACAAAAGTGAACATAACCTTCATTACAGTAGAATTTCTTGCAGGGGGTGTGTATGTGTATGTGTGTGTGTGTGTTTTCTTTTTCTTTTAATGTATGTCCCAGCCATCATACAGGACATCCATACATCTATGGCCTATAGTAATTGCTGAAGCCATGCTCTACAAAACCTGTACCAAAATCTCATGTTGTCTGCTAGGTTACACGATTGTTTAACCATGGAATTTTGACTCTGATTAGTAAGCATATCTATTACTACTTGTAATGCCATCATCATTTTTTTTATTGCTCTAAATTGCAAACTTGCGTCAAAAGGTTTTACTATACAATATAAGAAATCCTCTATCCCTAAACTCTCGATTTGATGCAAAGAAATGTTCCTGCTTCTGTTCATTTTTTTTTACTGTTTCTTTCTCAATTTGTCTGGTTTACTCAGCATATTGTTACAAATTACCTTGGTGTTTTCAACTTGTGTGTGGAAAATGCAGTCAACCCTGTTTTTGTTTTGCAGCAACACTTAAGGTACTGCAGAGAGCCCACAATGGCAAGTGATGTGTGCAGCCATGTAAAGGTGGTTGTTCGGGTGAGACCAGCCAATGACACAGAGAAGCGTGAAAACTGTCGGAATGTCATCCAGGTTGTTGACAGCCACATGCTCATATTTGACCCTAAAGAAGAGGACACACCGTGTTTTGGGTCACAAAGAGTACAAAACAGAAACATCAACAAGAGAGCTAACAAAGACCTTAAGTTTGTTTTTGACCATGTCTTCAATGAGAACTCTACTCAAGTTGAAGTCTTTGAGAACACTACTAAAGGAGTGTTGGATGGTGTGATGAATGGATTTAACTGCGCAGGTACGAAGGAAATAAATACAAGTTGTGTGTTACAGCTGCATTAGGCTTCCAAACATGTTGGCGTCCCCAAATGACAAATGTTTGGCAACAATTGTTTGCATCTTAAAAGACAATATCAGTGTTATATTCACAACTTGTTTCCACTCCCGCCAAACACTTGTTTTAATTATAAAGCAGAAGTATGGAGTGCCATAGTAGTGAGTCCTAAAACCCGGAACTGAGTTAGCATTTTTGCAGGCAAGGTATTCTTTGCCCTAAAGTCAGTGGATTTTTGAATGGGTTTTTGGTTAGATACCTGAAATAACGTCTATGGTTAACACAAGGCCAGTACATTTTCATGGTATGTTATTTCCAGGTTCTGGTAAAAGCAAGAGAAAACAGTGGCTATTTGTTTTAAAAGACAAAACCATAGTCACATGAAATATTAGATTTTTTTTATGACTATTCAGATATTCAAAAATCATTGCCCATCCCTAGTAAATACCCCACTCGTGATTTTTAATACTTTTATGTGTCTTAACAATTGCAGTTGCTAATAAGTGGCTAAGTGAGGCTACGGAGGCTCTCTGGGATATTACAGTCACCATTATTCTAACCAGTTGACACAACCATGATCACTAGTTAGATCAGGTTGTGCTAAGAGAAAGGATTTTGTAGAAGAGGTAAGCTCGCTAAATCCGATTGCAAATTGTAAGCTGTGGTGGGAACGTTGAAGTCATGGGACCGTGGTGTAGTTTGTTTATAGCCTAACAGTAGCTTTTTACATCTTGTGATCGTATTTGGGTTTTTAAAATCATAAAAGTGGTGTTCTTTTGTCAAGGTTATCTTGCTTAACAAAACATGTAAGTGTCCATAGTTTGTCACAGAGCTCATTTTCTGCAGTAATCCAAAAGATTTTGGAAAAATCCCATTGGCTTGTTGTCGAGGGAACCAGGGTGATGCTAACTTCCTGGTTGGCTTACAAAAATATGTCATCCCTATGGTACTCTATACCCATAGTATAGTGTAAAGGTCTACATTAAAATTAGTAAGCCAATTTAGATGCACTTAACAACTGAATGAATCTGCAGTAATATGATGTGTAAAATGAATCACACTTAAGATTTCATAGTTTCCTATAATATAAATGCAGACCCCTCAAAGGGTCATGGTGGATTTATTTATTTATTTATTTATTTTTGATCTTTTAGTAATTTTCATCACCTTGTATGTCAGAATTAGACACAGCATCAGTTGGTTAAAGTAACACAATGAGGAGGGCTAGGTCAACTAGCTCCATAGTTAGGTTAGTTATCTATCTAGCTGTAATTTACCCTTCCCTTGTTGATAAGGTTCCTGAAGATAAGATTTATTACAAGTTTGCTGGGTTAGAATTCATTGGTTTTAGTTTGGTATATCTAATAAATTGGCATCTAAATGTATACCAAATATTTTACAGTTGTATTTTCCTCAGTGGTCTGAGTTTAAAGTTTGCCATATAGGTGGTGTTGAGATAGTATTATGCACTGTCGGCTCATTTTTAAATCTAGTCTAATTAAAGCATCTTAATTTCTATCAGTTATACTCACTTAACCCAGGTTTTTCACAATAAGAACAACTTTTCTGGGCCCCTCTGACATAAATGTATTGGATGCTTCCATTTCTTCCAAGTTTTTTACATTACCGTTTGTGGTTATATTTTATCTGCAGCAAGTTTGATGCTGTAGTTGTTGCTATTATTGTAAGCATTTTTGTTATACATGCTTTATGCTGTGATTTTTAATTGCAGTGTTTGCCTATGGTGCTACTGGAGCAGGCAAGACACATACTATGTTAGGCTCAGAAAATGACCCTGGGGTCATGTATCACACCATGAAAGAGCTGTTCAAACGCATGGATGCTGCAAAGGAGGAGAAAGAATTTACTGTTGCTTTCTCATATCTTGAGGTGAATATTTAAATTTTTGTTGCGTTTCTGATTTTGTTCTTTTTGTTATCTGTACTTGTGCAAAACTTGTTCATTTTTGTGTCAGTGATTCTTAGACTTTGATTCATTCATAACCAAAGCTTTTGTATGAAGGCAGTTACACAATGCACTGGCAAGGTTTAAAGGGGATGTTTATTTTCAGTTCAATTTAATTGTATATTACCAATTCAGGACAACAGTTGTCTCAGGGCACTTTACATAATGAGGTCTAGACCTTAAACTATCATAAGGAAAACTCAACAAATCCCCCTTGAGCAACATTTGGTAACAGTGGGGAGAAAAAACTCTCTTTAGCGGAAGAAACCTCCAACAGACCCTGGCTCCTGGTGGGCAGCCTTCTGCTGTGACCAGTTGGGGTGAGTGGATAGAGGAGAGAGAAAAGAAAAGCATTAAGACGCAACAAATGGGTTAATGTAGCATTAACCTATGTTTGTCTGCACATAAATCTGCAGCTCTGAAGCCAGGGATACTTTTCTTCTCATGTTTTTCTATACACTATTCTGATAACAGTTTAAAACGTGTTAATGGTAACTCCTATTCCTTACAGAGTCTTGAGCATTCATTTCTTTCTTGACTGATCTCTTGGGGTGGATATGAAGTTGTTTACAGTTATATTTGTTTATAGGTTTACAATGAACAGATCAGAGACTTGTTGGCTAATGCAGGCCCTCTTGCAGTGAGAGAGGACAGTTCTAAAGGAGTTGTTGTTCAGGGCCTTACACTCCATCAGGTTAGTAACAACATGAATTACACACTACCTTGTAGCATCATGGAACATATCAAAGGTCCTGGTGCCATTGTAGAATCAATTTGTTACAGGTGGTCTAATTCAGTTTTTTTTTTTTTTTTTTTTAAACAGCCCAAATCTGCACAACACATTCTTGAGGCTTTGGATTCTGGCAATCGAAACAGGACACAGCACCCTACTGATATGAATGCCACCTCTTCCCGGTCCCATGCTGTATTTCAGGTATTTTAGTCTAGTCCTATTGAAGTACCTGAAGGAAAATTAGGCTGTGGCATGGTGTCATAATTTAGAATAAGGGCACTACAGAGAAAATTCAATAATTAACACTGAACATAATTACAGAAGAGCAGCTGCAAACTTTCCACCCCCCATTTCAAGTGGGCAGTTACTAATTTCTTAAGTTTATTCATATCATCTAACAGTGCATCACAATTCTTGATAGTCTTGAATTAACAGTTTTGTATTCTTTTCTCCAGGTATATTTGAGACAACAGGACAAAACTGCCAGCCTCAATCCTAATGTCTGCGTTGCCAAAATGAGTCTGATTGACTTGGCGGGTTCAGAGAGAGCTAGTGCCACCAAAGCCAAAGGTGCACGTTTTCGGGAAGGTGCTAACATCAATCGCTCGCTCCTTGCCTTAGGAAATGTTATCAATGCTCTTGCTGACCCAAAGGTGAGTCTGAGGATAACACAGTATTACAAATACAGCCTAACATGCAAATTAACCAGAGTATTATCAATTTATATTGTTGTGGTGGTCATATCCATGTAATTTTGGCTTTGGGTCTTCTGCTCTGCCTATCGTTGATCATACAGTGGTCAATAGAGAATTATAGCTAAAGGCTCTTTTATGCTTTGTGTAATCGCCACAAACAGTTGTAAACCAGGTAGCTCACCTGTTAGCCCGTTTGTGTGTTGGAACCTTTTTTTTACTTGAATGTCTTATAATGGATCAGGCTCCTGGTGTCACTGTGTGCTTTCTGGTTTTACTTTCACTGTCCTTTGTAGCAAGACAGGGACATTTATAAAATGAATAAATCCATACATATAAATACTGCTGATCTCTTACTGATGAGCCTACGTGAAGACTGTTTTTGTTCGGTAGATTTCCGCTGTC